ATGCAGAAAACTAAAAGTGGACCCCAGCCTATCACCATGCACCAACATCAACTCAAAATGGATTAAAGACCTTAACATTAAACCTGAATCTCTGAAACTACTGCAGGACAGAGTAGGAGAGACACTTGAACTAATAGGCACAGGAAGGAACTTCCTGAACAGAGTCCCAGGGTCACAACAAGTTGGAGAGAGACTCGACAAATGGGACTACCTTAAAATAAAAAGCTTCTGCACAGCTAAATCTATCGCAACTAAGCTAGAAAGACAACCAACTAATTGGGAAAAAATATTTACCAGCAATATATCAGACAAGGGGTTAACATCCTGTATATACAGGGAACTCAAGAAACTAATCCCTCCCAAACCTAACAAACCAATTACTAAATGGGCAAGGGAACTAAAGAGGGACTTCTCAAATGAAGAAATAAAAATGGCAAAGAAACACATGAGGAAATGTTCATCATCCCTGGTGGTGAAGGAAATGCAAATAAAGACAACCCTGAGATACCACCTTACCCCAGTCAGAATGTCCCACATCCACAAATCAGCCAACGACAAATGCTGGAGGGGATGTGGAGAAAGAGGAACCCTATTACACTGCTGGTGGGAATGTACACTTATACAACCACTTTGGAAAGCAGTCTGGAGGGTCCTTAGAAAGCTAAAGATTGACCTCCCTTACGACCCAGTCATACCACTTCTAGGCATCTACCCTGAACAACAGGAACCAATATACAAGGACACGTGCACCTCCATGTTTATTGCAGCACTGTTCGCAATAGCTAGGATATGGAAACAACCTAGGTGCCCCACCACAGATGAATGGATCCAAAAATTGTGGTATCTATACACAATGGAATATTATGCAGCCATTAGAAATGACAAAATAATGGCATTTGCAGGGAAATGGATGGAGCTAGAAGGAATCATGTTGAGCGAGGTAAGCCAAGAACGAAGAGACAAACGGTACATGGTCTCCCTCATAAGTGGATGCTAAATCCAAAAGGTTAGTGATACGACAAAACTAACAGGACTTAAGAAACAAAGAACTCCCGCTCATCTGGTTGAACCACTACTAAATATCCTCATGCTGCTGATCACAAATATGGTATATAACATGTGAACACTGTTATATATTACAGACTGTGGTAGACAATTTGCTCCAGGGAAGTTAGAATGAACTTGTGACTTTGAAATTATGTAATCATTTAATCACAATCAAAAAAAAAAAAAAAAAAAAGAACCTCGGGGAAGGGAGGGAGGGAGGGGATGGTAGGGGGAAAACAATGGAGGGGGTAACAATGTTCAAGAGGAAGTGTACTCATAACTTCACTCATGTAACTGTGACCCTCTGTATAGTAGCTTTACAATAAAAAAAAAAAAAAAAAAAAAAAAAAAAAAATGAGGCCTGTTGATACTCAGGAACATGGTTATGAATGAAGTGAGCTCCAAATAGAATTGAGTCAGATCAGAAGGACTGTAATCCCCAGTAGCATCTGACTAGAGGTTACACACCGAAAAGACTGCTCAGAATGTTAATTCCATTACAGGTCTTTATTGCAAGCACATTTCAATTGTTTTCCTTTAAATAAGCAGCCACTGGACTATTTGACTTGCAGGTGATAGAACCTTCTTTTCTGTCTGGTTGCCTTGAAGGTGGGGTGCCGGGGAGATTGTCTATAAGCAGCCTCTTCTTTGGAAACTTGTTACGCACTAGAGTAACTCTGAGAGCACACTGTCAAGCTTTATAGCAACTGTGAGAGAACTGGGAGTATTTCAACTGCAGCTTCTGCTGAAGTCCTAACTCCAACTTCCGGAGGTCTTGCTTCAGTTATAATTACTCTAGGCAACTTATACCTACTTTGGAAGATCCCCACTCCAGGCAAGACAAGCCTCAAGCTTTTGTGAACTCTCGATGATTCTGCCCACGTAGTAACGATCTCTCACACTGAAAAGGGGTGGAGGAGCCTTCCCAGTGATTCAGGGGGAAGAAAGCCTGTCATTGGTGCGATGCCAGGCTTGCGATTGGCTGTTAGGATCTGAATGTGAGCTCTCCCTTGGTGCAATCCTTAGTTCCAAATTGCTGGTGCTCTTTGGAAGATGATAAACACTGGGAGGTGGGAATCTCACTGGAAAATGTGAGTCCTTTCAGGCATGCTCTGAAAGTTACCCTTGATCCCTGATCCTTTCTCTTTCTCTGTTTCCATTCACCAGGAAGTGAGTAGCTTCTTGGTTTTCTCAGCCATGAAGTGCTGCCTCAAAACAGGCTGAGAAACATGGAGGCAAGCAACCAACCTCGAACTGAAACCATGAACCGAAATATATCTATCCTCCATAAAGTTGTTTCTGTCACATAATCTGTCATAGTGGTGCAAAAAATAATAAACACAGAAGTGGTATGAGGTCCACCCTGGGAAGGCAGAGCAGACACCTCCCTACCTCTTGGCTAAGTTTCCACCCACGATGTGTCACCTAGGCAACTGGCACATCTGGAAGCAGCCACCTCCCCCTCCTGCTAGGTTACATCCTGGGCCACCTCTGGTCACATGCCTCCCATCTGACTATAGGAAGGTCCCAGGCCCTGAGGTCACATCCAGATCCAATGTGGCTACACCTTTCGGCCTCTGCACCATGCACGGTGAGAGGCAGTAGTTTGGTACATAAACTTCTTTTCCTGCCTGAATAGTGCGTGGTGTTCTCTTCATTGGCTACCTAATGAAACCTACCTACTTCATAGGCCTTACAAGTGGGTGTTGTGATTGGTGGAAATGGAAGACAAGCCCAGACGCAAGGCTGTGATGAGTGGAATCACAATGCAAGCACAAGAGGGCAGCACACTTTTTCAGTTTAAGAAGCAAGCTATTTCTCTCATTGTGTTAGTCCAAAAGGCTTTTCCTGTGTGCTTTCTTTCCTCTTCCCAGCTCCGAGTGCTATGTTTGCCTTAGGCCAATACATGCTTCTCCTGAGTGGTCTTGTTTGTCTAGTTATGTCTTTATCCCAAGTAGAGTAATGGGCTGAATAGAAGAGGCCTGAGCTTTCAGAGGCACCTGGCTGAAGAAGCTAAAAGCAGCAGGAGGTAGCTCCTGAGTGCTATAAGCCACTGAGACTCCTGGGGCTACAAGTTCTTGATTCTCTCAGAAGCTACAAGGTGGCTGAAGAGACTTGGGGGTGGGGGGGAGGGGTGACTGGGAACTAAGCCTGCCAAGACTACGAAAAACTAAGGAAGTACTCAAGAGATAAAAGGAAGTGAATAGAGAAGGCTCCAGAAGAGAAGAGATTAACAGCTGAGACCCTGAGTCAGGATCACTGGAAAAATTCCACACTTCCAGATCCAAAGGTCAGCATCCAAGCATCCCAACATCCAGACAGGGAGAGTTTTGCCTTAGTTGTCAGGTGCAGGGGACACAGACTTTGGGACTTGAGGCATCCTCTGACCTGAACATCATCTACAGCCAAAAGCCTCTAGCTTTGAAAGCTTAGAATCACAAGTCTCTAGTTCTCAGAACTTAGAGTTGCAAGTTTCTGATGTTTGAACACCTGGCCTTTAGCCCTGAGGAGCTTAGGGCTGCCAACATTGGGGAATCTACCTCTAGCTATTTGTGATGTTTTTACTCTAATGGAGCAAAAATGTCCCACAGTCAGCCATACATGACAGGATGAATGAGCTGAATTAATGTTGATATTCACTCCTTCCATTGTTCTTGATGTTTTTCCTGAGATGATTTGTGGGAAGAAAATACTGTTTTTGAAGGAGTAATTAAAGATAGCACTGTAGCTAAGTTTTGAATTATTTCTTCTCAATATTCAAGGACTTGGATTTGTATTTTGGATTTGCTTTACCAAGCTCAACATGTTCATGATGAATCTTTCTGCTTCCTTTCTGCCCCCGAAGGTTGAAATTTGACCGTACTAAAGCCAATAGCACATCATAAGGATCCCGGTTGTTTCTGGCAGTTAAGCACTTTGTGTTTTGACCTCCTATGACCTTTGTTTTGCAGCTGATCTGGGTGGGAAGGTTGTTTCCAGGTAACTTCCTCAAATTCATCTTCTTTTAGTAAACATCAACATGGTTTTCGGTATCACTTCCCATGAAACATAACAATGATGCACTTCCACTACTGCCTCTCACTGCTTTTGTCAGAGATATACCACAGGGCTAGACTGCCCTTTTGGCTGATTGGACACCAAGGGGATATTTTTAGTTCTACAGATTCTTCCTCTTCATTGGGCCCACGCACTCTGACCCGTACCTCCCAGGACTTCGAGTACCACCGCTTCCTCTCTCAGCAGATGACAGTGGCACCAACATGTAGTTCATTCGATGACTTGCCAAGTCAGGAATAACAAGGCAATCCCCTTCCTGTATTGACTGAGCAGTTTTGAAAGGTCAGTCCATTTTTCATGAGGGCTTCAAAAAAAAAATACATACAGATGTATTTTTTTTCCTTCCCCACAAGTTTTGAAATTTTCTACAATCTTTTGCATCTTTTTTGTTCTTGTTGTTGGTCATGGGGTTTGAATTCAGGGCCTGGACGCTGTCCCTGAGCTCTTTTGCTTAAGGCTGGAGTCTACCACTTTGAGCCCTAGGTCTACTTCTGGCTTTTTGGTGGTTAATTGGAGATAAGAGTCTCATGGACTTTCCTGCCCAGGCTGGCTTCAAACCTCATTCCTCAGATCACAGCTAAGTCAGAGCATTGATTGAGTAGGAAATCCTTCTCTGAAGGACTTTCTCTTTCATTGTAATACCCAGACTTCAAGAGAACCTCAGACACAGCTTTACTGCACTTAAGATTTGCTTTCTGGGTGTCCCTCCACCTCCACGCTTGTTTTGTCAGACATCAATGCGTTGTTTCTGTTTCTTGAAAGTCCCACTCTTGCAGTGAAGAGATGAGTGCTACATTGCAAACACTCCCAGAGCTCCACGTGGTTTTTACTCCTGACATCGGGGTTTGATGCTGAAGTGGGACTGTCAAGTGTCCTTTCATTGGATTGATTCTGGAAACCACTGTTCTGCTCTGTTCCCATGGGCTGCTTCCTGACTTAAGAGGTCACTCTTGACCTGATCACCCGCTGGGTTCAGCTGCCACTGACCGCTTCACATCTGACTCTGGAAGACCCCACTCCAAATCCACTGTCTTTCCTCCGAGTATTTCAGGTGGGATCTATGCCCTTTCAGCTTCTGCTGGTGCACAGTCATCGTTGGCCATGAGGCTTCTTATGCCTGGGAGCAGCTCTGCTTCTCTGTGCCTCCTTGGAGTTCTGTCCTCGCTCCTGGGCCCGGCCAGCCTCCTTGGTGAGTAAGGCAGTTTCCAGTGCCAGGGCAGCAAAAAAGCTGAGAATGGGCAATAGTCAAGGCAGAGAAGACAGAGTAGACCACTCAATGGCAAATGCATTCATTCCATATTAGAAATTTAAAGAGACAGTCGTGCTGTAGTCATTTGCACTAATTTGTAGGAGGTATAACGTCATTTTATTACTGTCAGTTACTTACTAACAATTAATGAACTACTTATTTTACCAATGGTATAACAAATACTTTATTAACTTCTAATTCAGTAATCGATAGGTTTAACACATTTTTTTAAAGGTTTAAATACTTTTATGTATATGAGTATGATTGAGAAAGAACAATGTTTGGTTACATACCTGCATATCTACTCTGCTAAAACAGGGAAGAATAAATTACCATGTTTCATTTTCTTACAAATTTATATACAGAAAGGATTAAAATTCCCTTCATGTGTTAGCCTGTGCCATTTTATTTTTACTAATTGTTGTTGGTTTTACTATCTGCAAAGCAAATGTGAAATAGTAATTATTGGCAGAAATTCAGAGAAAATTAAGGAGAATCTAAATGCATTACAGTATCAAATTTCTCTGTCAAGTCATAAAATGTTATATAAATCTAAGGGTTTTTTGCAGTTTGATCATTTTTATTATTGTATTAAGAATAGAATTTCCCCATGATTCTTTTCTCTAGAAGATTCTAAAGCACACAGCAGTCTTGGGTTGGTGAGTGAATGAGGCTTTGGGATTCTGGGTGTACACAGCATTGTGAATTAGAACCAACACTGTTTCCTTAAGATTCCTCTGTTGAAGATGCTGACATGTACATCTAATGGTCCTTCCAGGTAGCAAGTGCTCTTAATGGAGTCAGATTGTGGCTTGTGTAAAGAAAAATGAATTTGAGCCCTTCACTAGCTGTGTGACCTTATGTATGCTGTTCGACCTCTCTAGGTTCTCTTTTCACGTTCGCCAAATGGAGTTGTTGAGAGATTACCTGAATTTATACTTGTCAAAGCTTAAAGCATTGCCTGGTATTTAATAACAAGTGGCTACACATACTTTTTTTTTTAACTTTTAAAAAAGGTTGGCTTAGAGCCGGGCGCCAGTCGCTCATGCCTGTAACCCTGACTACTCAGGAGGCTGAGATCTGAGGATCACAGTTTCAAAGCCAGCCTGGGCAGAAAAGCCCGTGAGACTCTTATCTCCAACTAGCCACCAGAAAACCGGAAGTGGCACTGTGGCTCGATTGGTAAAGCACTTGCCTTGAGCTGAATAGCTCAGGGACAGCGCCCAGTCTCACAACCGACAAAAAAAAAAAAAATTGGCTTGTAGTTATATGGGAATTTGATTGTGAGCTACAGAGAAGAGGTCGAATGGGGAGTCTTTATTAGAAAGCTGGCCATTGTGAACAGACACATGTCCCCCCAAAACTTGAAGCCTCAAATACACTTAACACTGTTAGAAAACCCGAGCCATGAGGGTAGTAGAGAAAGAGCAGAAAACAATCTCAACAAAGCCGCTCAGCTGTAATGGAGAGTTGAAATGGGATGCCATGGTGACCTGAGGAGAGTCAGGAGACACAAGGCCTGGTGCAAAATGGTGGCTGAAGGGAAGAGTCCTAACCAGGGTCATGGTCAAGGGGCAGGGTCACAAGGAGCTGGGGAGTTCCAAGAGTCTTCCAAGTTCATGGTCTAGGTCTGGCAGGTCCATAACCTATTATCCACATCCCTGCTCCTGCCTCTAGGAATTCAGGCATGCCCATCATCAGAGGATGGAGGTGGGCCTCACCTCTAAGTTTTGGAAAGTCCCTCATCCACCAAGATGCCAAGATGGCACCAGTTAGACCCAGTATCCATATTTCAAAATCAGGCATATGGGGTGGTCATGGCGGTGAGGGAGAGGATTTCATTGTTGCATCTTAACTGTATTTCAATCCATTTCCCTCTAAGAAATAGCGTTCCTAACAGGTTTCTTTTTCCCATTTTCACAGTTACACATGATCTATTTCAACATTTTTCAGTTTTCTTTATTCTCTTCCCAAGATCACTGCTAGTCCCTGCTCACCCAAGAGCCTATCTGTCTTTGATCATCCTTTTGTAGTTTCTTTGGACTTCTCTTGTGTGTCTCCATTGTGATGTTTTGCACAGTTATTCATCCCCTTTCTTTCTCTAAGCTCCTCTGTCCTCTTCCTGAGTAATCACTTAGCTCAATTCATATTCTTTTCAACCATCGAAATAATTCTGTATATGGGTATTGATCCTTACACATTTTTAAATATTAAAATGATCAAAGAATAGTTTTATAGAAGTCAATTCTGCCTTTCCTAGATTCATAGATGCGTGCCCAATTACACCTCAGTCATCTGATACCTCCATTTTGTGAATGTTGCCATCTTAGTTCGTGAGCAATGAAATATTGGGAGAAATAAAAGTCTTCCCTAAGCCCCAGCTTCTGTAATTTGATGTTGAATTGTCCTCCATAGGCCCATGCATTAAAGGCTCAGTCCTCTTGGTGGTGCTATTGGGTGATGATTTCATCATCCATCAGAAGTAGGGTCATCTAGAACATGCTGCAAGGGGTGGTAGGTATGCCTGGCTCCACACTTGCACTTTCTGGGCATGAGGAGATCCATTTGGCTCCATCATGCCCTCCTCCCATGATGGCCTACCTCTCCACAGGCCATCTGTCCTGGAATCTCAGAACTGGAAAATGAATCTTTTCCTAGTATGTTCCTTATCTCACGTATTGTGTTATAATGGGGAAGGCCTGGTGAATTTATATGAGTGAAACATCAGAAGAAAAGAGTCTCTATTTCCAACCAGGTTGCAGTTCCCCTCCCAAGATTGAGCATGGACACTACAAGGACATTAGTGAACTTCTGTCCATCACCACTGTGGTACAGTATGAATGCAAGGAAGGCTATGTTCTGGTGGGAGCAGCCACAATGTCCTGCAGGTTCTCATATTGGTCATCTCCGGCTCCTCAGTGTAAAGGTAATCCATTGCTGGTGGCTACAGAAACCACGCATGCTGCCGAGTGGCTCTGAAGTGGTCCAGATCCCGATGGTACTCCCAACCAGAGCACATTTGCCATTGACTCCTGCTCGAGCCTGAGGGAGGTTGGTCATGGATTAATTCCAGATATCCAAGACATAACACCCTGGGTTTCTGATGGCATCCAGAACCTCTCATGAGAGATTTGACCTTGCTATCAGACACCTGCCCCCATGATGTGTTATGTTACTGTCAGTGCTCTCATTTTTCCACAGAACTGAGGTTTCTAGAGCAGAGAGATATCGCTACCATGACTGTGTCCACAGTACTTCCCACACAGGTTTGCTAAGGCATGCATGAAATAGAACCACTGCCTAGAACCCAGCAGTGGCTCTGCACCATGCAAAGCATGCATGGGTAGCACATGTCCAGAAAGCACCAGCCCAGTTCATGGTGATGGTGGTAAGATAGTCAGAGTGATCATGGAGTAGTGGCAGCTGCAGAGAGAATGAAACAATAGAGACCAGCAGTATTGCTGTTCCCCTTTGTTCATCACCAGGAGTTATCTATCTGTTTTGATGATAGCTCTGTGTGCAAAACCAAAGATGCTCAATGGACAGCTGTCTGTGGAGAAGGATCAGTATGTCAGCCCTGAAACCATCACCGTCCTGTGTGACCCTGGCTATCGGATGGTTGGATCACAGAAGATCTCCTGCTCAGAGAATAAATCTTGGAACCCTCCCGTGCCCAAGTGTGAACAGGTGAATGAGACACAGTGAATATTGCGTTACATGACATCTGAAAACACATTACAGATAATCAGCTTTATTAAAAACAGGAGCAGTACTAATATGCCTGAAGGGATTGTCTGTTAGGGTTCATGAATACAGGTTTACAGGAACTAGTTCGTGCACCATGAGGCACTGTGCTGTTTCTGTGGTAGTAGAAAGCTTAAGGTCCTGTTTTATAGCAGGGCAGGCTGGGTGTATTGTAGGGACTTATTAGCAGATGTCCTGGTCCTGGAGCTCAGTATTTCCTCAAATACCTGATATACTCGCTTTTATTTCTCCTTGGTCAGCAGAATAGACTCCCCTTGTTTCTTTGGATATTTTGGGGATTCCCCTGAGCTTAGTCTCCCTCTTTGCTTGATCTGGTACTTCAGAGCGCACATGGGGAACACTTAGAGTCCAAATGAATGGGTTTCCTATTGATCCACCCTGGCTGGGCTTATCGCTCACCTTCCAGTCTTCCTCCTGCCATGAAGTGTCTTGAAAGAAGCATAGCCACTTATGAGTTTGCAAGCTTTCTGAAATCATCATTCTTGTTTTTGTTTGTTTGTTTATTTGTTTGTTCTCTCAGGAAATCCCTGAAGATCGTGATGTGGTGCTGGCAGGCAGGAAGTTCTTACAGTGTCTTCCAACTCCCAGAGACTCCAAAATGGCCCTGGAGTTACATAAACTTTCTCTGCAGATTGAAAAACTGAAGCAAGACAGAGACAAGGAGAAACTCACTTAACTATACTTGCACTCCTTCTTGCAAGAAGACAGATTTGCTTTTCTGTACCATTCCAGAGAGAGAAAAATGTCAGTTTATTGACTCTACCTAAGCCTCATCATTTTTTGCAATAAGTCATTGGGAAAAATTTGCTGATGGGCATAGTGATCCTGGAATGTGGAATTATTAATAATTTACATTGTTATCTCTCTGCTTAAGATGAGACATTTCTGGGTTTGCTGAGCTGGCTGAAATAACTATCTACCTTTAAGTTTCCTTTTGAAAATCTGTGTTATACAATATCTGTACCTATCTACCTATAAATGCCAAAATACCTATGAAACCTATCATAATATGTATGCCTTGAACCAGTTCACTTCCTACACTTGGTTGAGTTTTTCTTCCATTTCACACTATTTCAGAGATGATGCACAGCAACAAGTCCTATAACTGTGTTCCTGGGATCCTCTCTGGACCTCAGGTGCAAAATTTCATACACACTTAGCTTGTAAGAAATTATCAGCTATGGTCAATGCTCTTCTTTTATTTTGCGGTTGCAAATTCTCATTTCCCTCTCTTTGCTGCTTAGGAACCGATTTTTAGTTTGATAAATACCCTTTAATATACTCACAGGTTTTGTGTGCATGTGCGTGTGTGCATGTGTGCGTGTGTGTGTGTGTGTGCATGTGTGCGTGTGTGCATGTGTGTGTGTGCATGTGTGCGTGTGTGCATGTGTGCGTGTGTGTGCGTGTGTGCGTGTGTGTGCATGTGTGCGTGTGTGCATGTGTGCGTGTGTGCGCGTGTGTGCGTGTGTGTGTGTGTGTGTGTGCGTGTGTGTGTGCATGTGTGCGTGTGTGCATGTGTGCGTGTGTGTGCGTGTGTGCGTGTGTGTGTGTGCATGTGTGCGTGTGTGTGCGTGTGTGCGTGTGTGTGTGTGTGTGCGTGCGTGTGTGTGTGTGTGTGTGTGTGTGTTTTCTTTTGTCCCAATAGCTATACAATTTTTCATCACGTGTATCCCCTGTGTTCTGTTATCTGTTCTTTTGGGATGAGCACTTATATTGCTTCCAACTCTTTACCAAAATTAACTTTGTGATGAGCTAATCTAGCCTTTAACTAACATGTAATATAGTTTACTCTTTGTTCTTTTGTAAGTATAGTCTTTATGATAAAATGTATTTAAGAAGTATGATAAGCTAGGTGCCAATGGCTTATCCCTATAAACCCTAGAAACTCAGGAGGTTGAGATCTAGAGTTCCACAGTTTAAGGCCAGGTTGGGCAGAAGAGTTTGCTAAACTTCATCTCCAGAATAACCAGCACAAAGCTGGACTGGAGGCATGGTTCAAGCAGTAAAGTGCCAGCCAGGCAAGCAAAGCTGAGAAAGTAAAGCCAAGCAAGCACAAGTCTCTGAGTTCAAAAGCCAGAAGTGACAAAACATAAAAAAAGAAGGGGAAAAAAAGGAAAAATCCTGACAGAGATGGTAAAGGAAGAGGGTGAGGTACCACATTCACCCAAAGCCATCTTTAACAGGAAGTAGAAGTCAGATGATAGGGTTGAACCTGAATATGGAGGTGAATGAGGATTTGAAAGAAAGTATGGCAGAGGCCTAGTCAAAGCTACTTAAGACACTAAAACTGGAGTTTGGGGTGTGGCTCACACCTGTAATCCTAGCTACTCAGAGGCTGAGATCTGAGGATCACAGTTTGAAGCCAGCCTGGGCAGGAAAGTCCGTGAGACTCCTATCTCCAATTAACCACCAGAAAACCGGAAGTGGCGCTGTGGCTCAAGTGGTAGAGCAAGCACCTTGAGTTGAAGAGCCCAGGGACAGAACCCAGGCCCAGAGTTCAAGCCCCATGACCAACAAAGAGGGAGAGAGAGACAGAGAGACAAAGAGAGACAGAGAGAGAGGAGCACTGGTGAATGGCACTCTTTGGAGCTTTGGCATACATTTGAGGGGTGAATAAGAAGTTTGGGGGCAGGGGCTAGAGGTATGTGTAAATAAGTAGCTCCAGCCAAAGGTGAACTCTGGTTGGTCATTATTTCAGGATGTTTTGCTAGTGTCCCGCCATGCTAAGACATTTATTGGGAAGAGGACAATTTCACAAGATGTTTACTCATTGATCCTGTCCTTCTGGAAGTTCCAAGGTGACTGTGGGGGAAGAGACATGCTGAGAAAAAAAATACGTTAAAATTGGCCAAAGGGGACACAAAATGGAGTTAGACGAGCGAGTGTAGGGCCTTTCTCACACGTGGAAGAGCTTTTCACTGGAATGTGAGCGCCACAGGCTCCAGAGGGAGCGTGAGGGTTTTATCCAGGTGTCCAAGCAAGGAAGCAGGATGTAAAAGGGGGTTCAATGGCCTTACAGTTCACTGGCAAAAGCAAATCACTTTAGAGACAAGGAAAGAACAAGCCTGTTATAGGTCTGGAGGGAGAGGAATCAGACTCTGTGGTGAACTACACTGGGAATACAGAAATTCCCAGTAAGACTTACACAGTCTGGGAATAGGCTGCTCAAGCCTATAATCCCAGCTACTCAGGAATGTAGATCTGAGAATCAAATGTGAGAGACTCTTATCTCCAATTGACCAGCAAAAAGTCAGAAATGGAGATATGGCTTAAGTATCAGCCTTGAGCAAAAAAAAAAAAAAGCCCTGAGTTCAAGCCCTGGTAGTGAACAAACACCCTAAACAGTCACCAAGTAACTCATCTTTGAGTTTCTTGTGACCATCAATCAAGAGTTATTTCTCAGCTGACCAGCACAGGACACGAGGCCTATTATAGCAAACACAGCTATAGAAGCAGAAACAGAGTTCAGAGGATGTAAGGACCAGAAATACCACAGAAAGGCTAAGTTTATCTCTAACAGAAACATATTGAAGATTATTCTTATGATTCATTATTAAGCCAACTTGTTGACCAGTCAAAGTCTGGCTAAAGTATGATATGCTCACACACAGTATAATTTCTGCATTCCCTTATTGTATATGTTCCTAGAGGACCACTGTGTGTCAAGCTCTATTCTAAGAGGAGTTGGAACATTAGAAAGCCACTAAAACAAAATGCAGTTATTAGAAAGAATGAAGTACATGTATACGTAGTGATACAGAAAGATATCTAAATTGTGTAATGTGGAAAACAGCATATGACAAACAGGTAAAGCTGTATGATTCCATTTGTGTGGAAAACGTCTACTTGTCCTCAAACATGCATACAGGCACAAGATCTCATAGTGATTGTGTGTTCGGGAGATGACTAGGAAGAGAAAATATTAATTTGACATTTGTGCTACTTTCAATACAAGGATGTTTTTTAATATACTATGTAGATAATATACTACTAATAATAGTTTCATTTCTATCTTTATAACAGTAATAGAGAACACCATAGTGAAATAATTGTGAATACTACAAAAATTATATTGGGATGGCCAGACACTGGTAGATCATGCTTATAATCTAAGCTACTCAGGAGACTGAAGATCGTGGTTTAAAGCCACCCTGAACAGGAAAGTTCATCAGACTCTTTTCTCCAATTAACCACTAAAAATCCAGAAATGGAGTTGTGACACAAGTGATAGAGTATCAGTATTGAGCAAAAAGAAATTAAGGAACAGCTCCAAGTCCCTGAATTTAAGCCCCAGTACTGGCACACAAAACATTTATATTGGGCTACTTAAGAAAGGACAGAGAGAAGATAGTATCTGGAACAGGACATTAGGCCATAAGACAAATTAGCTACCCTCGACAAGAGGAAGTGGACCAGAGGAGACTGGGATGGGCGAATGGTGTACAGAGTTTGATAAAGACATAGGGGAAGAAGTTTTGAGCTTAGTTGTAGAAAAATGACCTCAGAGAGGAGACTAGATGTCACCATTTTTATAGAAAGGAAAATAATAGAATGGATGCAGGCACTCTTTGGTTGTTTATCATGGATCTTTGATATCAGCATCATCAAGGAGAGGAAAGGAAACTGGATGTAGGTGGCTCAATGCCTGTAAAACCTAACTACTCTGGAAGCTGAGATCTGAAGATCATGATTGAAGCCAGCCTAGGCAGGAGAGTCTGTGAGACTTTTATCTCCATTTAACCACCAAAAAGAGAACCAGAAGTGGAGCTGTTGCTCAAGTGGTAGAGTGCTCGCCTTGAGCAAAAAAGCTGAGGGACAGTGCCTTGGGTTCAAGCCGCAGGACTAGTACACACACACAGCCATACATGGGCACTTGCCCATGTGCGTGTACATTCTCACACATTTGCAAAAGAGAGGAAAGGTTGCATTTCATGAAAGGCAAAGAAGACTCGAAAACGTAGTAAGAATCTAAGAACAACCTTATTTAAGAGAATTTCCAGAGTGTCAGAGGTAAGGGTTTGGGTCGAGTTGGTAACCACAAACACACCATTCTACTTAATATTATGCTGTTGTTTTCCAGAACTTGGCTGGCATTCCACTGCAGGTTCCCGACTCATTCAGGGTGGAGATTTTGCCATATTGATATGATAAAGGGATCAGAAACAGAGACATTTCAGCTAGTGATAAAAAGGCTGAAATGGTGCCCTGCCGATTCAGCTGGGGAAGGAAGGAGAGAAATCGACAGAGCAGTTTGGTGGCTGATCTTGAACAAAAGTGTTAGTGGCAAAAGATTAAAAATACATAAACTGTTAAGACAAAAGCTTGTGGTCACAGAATGAGGTAACTGAATTTTACACTCTTTCTGGAACCGTCTTGGGTAATGACAGAGTCTAGAGAGGCCACTGGACAGGGTGCCCAGAGAAGAATGATCCTGGACATGTGGAGCCCAAGGAACTTGAAAGGCCAGGTCCCGGTGTGTGTTTGGGGGGGGGGTACTTGCTGACCTTGTGTCTTGCACTTAGGAAGCCAGGCTGAGGGAGCAGGGGTGAGGGGAGAGGGACCACAGGGAAGGGGGTTGTAATTGGCAAAGCCTAATTCAGTTCCCTATGAGTCCCTGGGCACTGCTATTTATTGCCATCCTAATCCCTGTGTAGTATGTACTAATGAGATAGCTGTGCCTTTGGAGATCAGGATGCCCTTCCTTAGCTCCTCCTTCTTATGACCTGAAATTCCATCACGGGCCTGACCAGTGTTTGAGGTCACCCTCGGGGAGAAGGACTGATATCTTGGCAGGAAATGATGCTTTTAAATTGTGGTGTTCGTTAGGTCTAGTTTATAGCCACTGTTTCATCTGTGCCCCTGGAAGATACCGTACCCAGGGAGCTGGAACCTGCCCTCTCTAAAAGGTAGTAGCCCCTGAGGTCTAATTAACAGAAGTTCAGTTGCAGATACTTTCCCTGTCGCACAGGCCCTGCTTTGCAAAACCTCACAACCCTCTTTATTGTCTACTCCCCTCCCCCACCCAGGGCTGCCCCTAT